TATATATATATATATATATATATATATATATATATATATATATATATATATATATATATATATATATGACGGAATATAGTCTTAATGTATGCTATATTTATGGGATAAAGTCGTCGATATCAGAGACAGCGTGTATAAATATAAAAGAGAACATGGAAGTCAACGCTTAGAGACAACAGGCTGTTTCATGCTAGACGCAATCGTCAGGCCACGTGTGTTTTTTTATAAAAAAAAACAACAACACACGTGAGGTCACGTATGTTTTTTAAAGAAAAACCCAACACACGTGGCTTGACGATTGCGTCTAGCATGAAACAGCCTGTTGCCTCTAAGTGTTGACTTCAATGTTCACTTTAATATATATATATATATATATATATATATATATATCGTTTATTTAATGCGGATAGTCCCAGTTATTAATGATTAAAGATTCAAATGTGAATTTTTCTTCCACCTCTTTTGTCTTGTACGGTTGTCAATAATATGCTCAGGCATTGAGCAAGAATTTGGCCTTGATTATTAGATTGATTGAATATTTTGTTTTCTAAGATTTATTAACATTTGTAAGATATTTAAGCGAACAAATATTTTTAAATTGTAATATTTTTTTTTGGAAGGGGATATAATAATATTTAAGTGATACACGTCCTACCAATTAACCCATTGCTGGGGTAAAATTCTTGGATTCATATCTTTTCCAAGACTTTTTGCGCGTTAGTAAATAAAACGAACCCAACGTGAACTGGAACACGAGACTCCGATTAACAATTCCGAGCCATTATCCATTACACTACACGCACTTACAAGCTTACAACACCTGGTATTCTCAAAACGGGAACACATCTAGGTTCTGACCAGGCTCGAGGTTGCTTAACTTCGTTGATCGTACGGAAACCGGTATTTCAACGTGATGTGACTGTAAACGGTGATTTTCACATTCATGTCCAACTTATAGAAGACTTACTATACATAATAACATTTTAATTTAATTTATTAAAATTTGAAGCTGAAACACTCAAATATATACCAACCTTATATATCTCTATTTGTGGACTTTGGTACTAAAAACTGGGACACGACGCTGAATGTTATCGTTTATATGAGAATGATCTTTTTCATTATTTGTTCATTTTTAATCATTTCCACCCAATCAAGATAATAAATTCACGAAGACGCAAGGGGGTTAGTGTAGGCAAGAAAATATGAAAAAAAAAAACATTATTAAGAAGAAAGAACGAGAAAGGAACGAGAATTAAGAAGACAGAAGATGACGAGTGATATTACATTTAAGTTTTAGAAGAGCAGAACTGAGTGAAAAGCAAGAAACCAGAGGAAAATTCCACAAACGAGAAGTGCGAGGGAAGAAACCGATAGAACAGAATTAATTAATTTTGCTAATTTTTCATCAGTGAAAAAAGTTTTTAGGTAATTCTTTCGAGATATAAAAAAGAAATGTCGTGAATGAAAACTTATTCCTATGTATTTGTAAACTTCAAAAAACTTGTGATTATATGGATCACTTTGTCTTGTTTTTTTTACCCTTTTTCCAGATTCAAAGTTGAAAATATATATTTGCCATCGGCTCACTTTGAAATAAATCCATTCTCTACTCTCTCTCCGAGTTGTAGCCGTGATACTACCAGCACAGGGACAGAGCCCTGATGCAGGGAAGTATCCCCTCTCTCTCTCTCTCTCTCTCTCTCTCTCTCTCTATATATATATATATATATATATATATATATATATATATATATACGTTAGCTCTATCACAGATATTTCTATCAATATGTTAGCTCTATCACTGATAGTGATCTCTTTCCACTAAGTTCTGCGCATATAAAATAATATAAATATATATATATATATATATATATATATGTATGCATGTATGTATGTATATAGGTGTGCATGTATATTAAAATGAAGAGAAACCGCAAACGTTTTTCGTTCCTTTGGGATCGAAAATGGCGCCAACATATGCCACCCTAACATTAGCTTATCCAGAGGAAAAATTGTATGAAAAGATAGAACAAATATATGGAGAAAATATAAACAACTTCACTAAATATTGGAAACGATACTTAGTTGATTGCTTCATTTCCTGGAAATCCTCATGAGGAGATATTAATCAATTGCACACTTTACTTCAGAACGTACACCCATAAATCAAATTCACTCAAGAATGTAATTTTAACCATTTTTAGATATACTAATTAGAAATATAAACAAAACTTCAGAACGTACACCCATAAATCAAATTCACTCAAGAATGTAATTTTAACCATTTTTAGATATACTAATTAGAAATATAAACAAACACATAATCACAGATAACTACCACAAAACTAGAGAGACCCAAAAAGATCTTCCCCTCAAGAGCCATCGTCCAAAAAGCTGCCTATTCTCTAGCAGTTAAGATTTGTACTATAGTGACTGACAAATACCTCAGAAAAAAACGCCAAGAAGTAATACATAGAACTCTAAAAAAACGATGCTTCTCCACAACACAAATAAACAAAGGTTTTAAGTCGCAAAAAATTCTTTTAGACCAACTACGAAATCCAAAGAAACGTAACGTAGAACAAACTCTAGCATTTGTCTCAACATGCAAGAACAATCCAGAACTATTTACAGAAATTATGAAAGATCTAGACGAACTTAGCAAGAATGACAGACTGAAAAATATGCTAAACACATCTAAAATAATAAAAGCAAACGCCAATCTAAAAACCTGAAACACATATTAACCTCATCCAAATGTAACCAACACACAATACAGGGATCACAAAATACAACAAAAAAGATGTGGGATTTGTGATGTGATTATGGAAGGAAACTCCTATACTTTTGAAAACACCTCAACAACATTCATAATAAATAAATATTAAACTGCAACTCCAAAAATGTGATTTATGCACTCAAATGCACAAAATGTCATATATAGCGGAGCAATAAACAGCAGAGTTTCCCTCCACAAAAGCTACATCAAATTACCAGACAACAAAAAAGTCTCTGCATCACAACACATCTATAAATTAAAACGTAAACACAATACACAAAAATGGAAATAGATCTAAGTACATACAGGGGACATTAAAAGATAAGAATATAGATATCGTTCCTGACACTTTCTCGGATCAATCTTAATTGTTTTATTAGCTTTTAAGAAGATCATTCTCACCACCAGTTCAAGGAAGACATTTGTGTCACTACTACCTCCAAAACAGAGAATGTGTAACATCAAAAACCATAAGGAAAATTAATTCAGTTTAATGATATGTTGTGACGTCGTCCCCCCGGTCGCAGCGCCGACTGTGACGTTCTATCCTGATCTACCACGGCACCAGTTGTGACGTCCCCAAACAGCACCAATTGTGACGTCCTCGCCGCGGCGCCAGCTGTTCGCTTCTCGCTGCTCCGTTCGGGTGTCGCTGCTCCAAACGTGACGTTCGCCTGTCGCGTCAGTCGTGTTGTCTCGTACTGAGCCGACCAACTAGCTTGGTATCGGTCGCGGCACCCAAATGTGACGTTCTAACCTTTTGGTGATTCGGGTGGGAATCTGGTTAGATTTGATATCAGCCTCGTCGTTCCCAACTCGCTTCCAACGCCTGGTTACCAAGGTAACTGCATTGATCTCCAGTCTGCCTACCCACGTTGTGAATTGATCTTAGGCAGACGAGATCAAACAGTGGTTGGGGCCGTAATGCAAACTGAGTTCAAAGGGGGTGATACTACACAAATATGCATAAAAGAAAATAAAATGAAAACTCAAAAGTTCAAAGTATCAAAGAAAAAGGTAACAAACTTTATGTCTAGTTGTTCGATACATAGGACTGCATCTATCTCTCGACCCGTTCTGTGGATTGTGACACGTCGTTTCCGCTAGGCAAGTTTTAACGCTTCAAGTTGTTTGCTCTCTAAGAAATTGGTGTTTCGGTGTGTCTTTGGACGAAAGTCGAAAAACTTATTTCGGTGGTCTGGTTCTAAGTCGCTCTTCAAAATAATTGTTAAAAGTCCTAAATTTGCGTGAATCTTGGTCAGCTATCTCGAGGCGGCTTCAACTCTGGAAACTCAACTCTCTGCTGGAACCCGAACTGATTTCTGCCTGTTGGGGCCTCGCTTTTATTGACGCTGACCAAAACCGGGGTGGGTCTGTGGGCGTCGGGGGGTTCCTCGATAATTTTAAATACATATCCACCTCTTTTATTTCTGGTTAGGGATTTTCCCACTCTTTTCCATTTTTAGGAAACTTTCCTCCCTTCCACTTTCTCACCATACCTCTGAGGGGCGTGAACTGCCCTCCCCACTTCTTCGTAGCAGATTCTCATACTTATACTCTGGATGGGGCGTCGACAGCCTTCTTCGTGCGTCACGTGATCACTCTCGGCCAATGAGGTCTTGGTCGGGTATCTTTCCTCCTCTTTCGTGCGTCACGTGATCACCACTTGACCAATGATGTCTTAGTCGGGCGTGAACAATCCGCGGCTTTGTTTCGGGGGAAAAAAAAAATTCTTGCTTAACTAAAAAAAATAATCTCTTCTCTTTCCCTTTTCCTCCGCTTAATTCGCCGTTATCATTTCTCTAGCCACAAACGGACAATATGACAACTCTTGTTCTACACGTGGTGTTTGTCAGGTATTTTATCGCTAATTTATCAAGATGGGTGGTCTTCTTAACATGGCTTCAAAAAAGAAATATCCCCAAAGTTTTCAGTCAGTCTGTCGCCTCCAAGGAAGAAAGAAAAACACTTCTGGGTCCCCATTCATTTTCCTTCGGTACATATTCCTGATAACATAATTTTATTATCGCAGGCCAAAGTTGTTTCGTCGAAAAAAATTCGGTCAGCGGCACTGCTTGTGTGGCATCTAATTTTTCATATCTGTCCAAAGTCTTTTTAGTGGCCTGTTTCTCGTCACTTATCGAAATAGCATTTTCACTTGAATTTTTCCCTGGCCAGTCTTCAGCCGTTTGTTTACGCACCTAGATAACACAGCCGTTATCAAAACACATCTTATTCCTTCTTTCTTTCCCTTTCTTTTTTTACTCAGAAATTCCCTGTCATTGTAATGACACCCTTTTTCATTTGTTACTTATCAATATTTTCATTGTCTCTTAGCCGTGTGTGTGGCTGCTTATCACCTACGATTCGTCTCGCCTTTCTTTCTGCCTTCTTTTCTTTCTCTTCATTTCTCTGCCTCGTAAATGGTGCCACAATGTGAAAATATCCACTCTTTGCCTGAAGAAGGTCGCAAAACCGGAAACGTGTGTAGGAAAATTATGGAAAATAAATTATAATATATATTTTAAAAATCCATATTACAAAAAAAAACGTGCAAGTATTTTCTCTTCTTTTTAAAATGTACAATTTTCTCTCGTTGGAACAATTATAACTTCTTCCATATATATATATATATATATATATATATATATATATATATATATATATATATATATATAATCGAAAAAAAAAGAACAATGAACACAGTTCCTTAGCATTTATTTTTGTAAAAAAGTAGAGCATAACATGATAATATTATTTACAAATATGTTTTCACCGTTACACGGAAATTACTATGTTCGGAAGTAAAAATTAAAATTAAAATTTTTGTTCTATTTTTAAGTGACGTTGACACTTTCAGAAAGAAATAATTTACATTTTAAAGCGAAGTAGTATTATATTTAAGAGTCTACGTTGGAGGGGGAATGAGAATTGAAATTTAGAAATGAGAGTTGTCTATTTTGAGGAATCAGGAAACATGTCTAATCCAAGATAGAAAAAAATGAAAAATATAGGTTAAAGGTTTGGTGTGGTTATGTAATGTCTGCTTGCCACAACGACCGTTCGTGTATGAGACGTGTCATCCTGTCTACTTATATTGGAAACTATATAAGATGCATAAAAATGCAAGTAGTTATTTGATTAAACCATTGGTTAATTTTGAAATTATTTATTTATTTATTTATTTACTTTTTTTATTTTCTCCAAATGCATTTGGGGCTTTCTTAAAGTTGCTTCAAATATAATTGATATTTATATTTGTAATTATAAAAATCTAAAATGCTATATTTATTATATTTAATGGTGCATTAGATATGTCATTGTTAAAATTAAAATATAAAATTTAGGAATTATGTACACATATTTTTTAATAAGGCTGAAAATATGGGGCACCCAGTGACGATCGAACTCACTACTCAGTCGTAATTATTCTACCAAGATAATCTTTCTATTACACCAAGTCGAGGTGCCCGAAAATGATTTTCTAAACGTGATATAAATGTGGCACAAGGACGAAAGTATGAGGCACCCAGTGAGGATCGAACTCACTAGCAAGTCCTAATTGTTTTAGCGAGACAAGCTTGCTAACCATTACACCACATCGATGTGCCCAAATGATTTTCTAAGCATAGCTTAGATGTAGCACCAGGCCGAAAGCATGGGGTACCCAATGAGGATCTAACTCACTCCCAATCATAAATGTGTTAGCGAGAAAAGTTTGCTAACACCACGCGGAAGTGCCCAAATCATCTTGATATATATCTGATTAATTTTTTTTTATTAATATTTTTTGTTTGGATCCAAGGCATAATAGTTATAGCTGAATTTGTAATTAATTTAATATTAATATTGGATATACTATTTTGAATAGAAGATATTACAGAACATTCGCCCTTGCGCCACGTTTAGAAAATCATTTTCGGGCACCTCGACTTGGTGTATTAGTTAGAAAGATTGTCTTGGTAGATCAATTACGACTGAGTAGTGAGTTCGATCGTCACTGGGTGCCCCATACTTTCAGCCTTTTGCCACATCTCAGCCACGCTTAGAAAATCACTATATCAAGATGAGTTAATGCAGTTGGTACTGAATAAGATCTCCATATTTGCAGACTTCTACTGGAATTCTATCTGGTAATTAAAGGCCTTTTCGAATTCACTCGATAAGCATTTTTTTGTTTCATATATGCGAATTCTCTCCCTTTATGTTAATTCCACGCATAAGTCATCATGCATTTTTTATCACCTGCTTTCTTGAAATAAATAATTCAGTATGTTTATTTTTGCTGTAATAAGTATGGCATCATATGCAATCCACGAGTAACTCCCCTCTTCCAATTAGTTCATTATTTTTTTGTAAGTTTCAATCATTTTCCGTTTGTCTTTTTTTTGTTGTTGTTGTTTATTACCTTCTCACTTCTCGGAATTAATTCCTTGCAGTTCTGCACACACTGACATTCTATTATTATCTTGTGATATTATCGTCTCTTTATCTTCGAAACTCTTTCGTCCTGCCCATTTTAATTTCGTCATGCTATCTCCCATCCATTTCCTTTATGTTATTCTCCGAAGTAGAAAACCTTACGCTGTACTTTAGATAATACTGGAAAAATGTTCTATGTCTTCCCGACTGAATTTAGCATTCCTCTGTGGCTTACATCATGTAAAGCCACTCACCCTCGCCTGATTCTTTTCAGTCTGACTTTTTATTTGGTAACCGTACGTCTCCATGACAACGGGGTAGGGAGGTACCCTGTCCATTACCTTATCTATTATTATTTTTCTCAGATTTTCACGCTGGAATAGAGAGGTTGCAAATCTCACCGGAGGGAAAAGTCTTTGGAGCGTAATTAGAAAAAAAAAATGTAAAAAATAATTTCGAAAAAGATGAATTATTTTATTTTTAGGAATCTGCTCGAAAATGTTTCATTGACATCAGCAGAACTTTTATTTCAATATTTATTTACTGCTAATACAGGCACACACAAATTTATACTACCGCTTTGCTTGTGTTCGATAACTTCCTTGGACGAATTAAATCTTGAAAACCGGAGCGTCTTCGACGATGATTAAAAGTATTCATTAATATACTCAGAATAATCATTCTCGTTGCAAATTTAATGGTTTTTTTAAAAAAAAAAAAACATTAATCATAACAGGTAAAATCGAGTGAAGCTTCCACCATTGCCTTTTCTGGTACAGTTTTTTTCTTTGTGCTTCTGTAACGCCAGTCCATGGCGACGACGTCGACAACGAATAATAATAATAATAATAATAATAATAATAATAATAAAAAAGAAGAAGAAGAAGAAGAAGAAGAAGAAGAAGAAGAAGAAGAAGGAGAAGAAAAGATCTTCAAAAAGCTATCAAAATAGAAGGAACATGAAATCGAAATCACAAAAATGTGGCACATGGCAACATCAACAATACTCGTTGTAGTTGGAGCCCTCGATTCGTTGGAAAATATTTCTGTAGGCTACTTGAAGGGATCCCTGAAAGCACATGCATTAAAGAAATACAAAAAGTTGCTCTCACGAGTACAGCCCACACCTTACGTAGGGTTTTGTCTATGTAATTGTTTTTTACAGTGGAAAATGTCATGATGCCATTACTATTCTTAGTTCTCTGGGCGAGACCTGGAAAGAAATCAGTACACATCAGAAATCAAAGGAAATAATAATAATAATAATAATAATAATAATAATAATAATAATAATAGCTTCTTTCTAAGTATAAGATGCATCATCCAAAGGCTGATGTAGACCGTCTATACATACCCCGTAAAGAAGGTGGAAGAGGTCTTATTCAGCTAGAATTGTCATACAAGACAACAACTATTGGCTTACTAACTTACATGGAAACAACAAATGACTGGATGATAAAATTAGTGAAACAACATGAAAACAGAAAGAAAAAATATTCAATAATAAAAAGAAGGCAGTAAATACAAACAACATTTACATTTAGTAGATTCTGTAGTAAATCAAAACAGAAGCCAAGAACCAACTATTGCAGCAAAAGATATGAAAAAAAGAAAGCCAAGGATAAAGCCCTTGAACAGATGAAACAACGCTGGCAAGACAAACCTCTGCATGGCCAATATCCAGAACGTGCAAATAAACCCAATGTTGATAAAGTTAATACTCATCGATGGTTACGAGCATCTGGATTAAAATCTGAAACTGAAGGCTTTATTCTTGCAGCGCAAGACCAGAGTCTTTTCACTAGGAATTTTCAGGCAAATATCATACATAATAATGTGGATCCAAAATGCAGGTTCTGTGACAAATACCAAGAAACAATAGACCATCTAATCTCAGGATGTTCTATACTTGCCCCAAATGAATATAAAAAATCGTCACGATAGAGTGGGGCAATACTTACACTGGACAATGTGCAAACACTTTTTGGAAAATGTGTAAGCAAACACTGGTATGAACATCGGCCAGCGCCGGTTACAGAAATAGAAGATGTCACCATTCTATGGGATTATACCATCCACACAGACAGAAAAATTGAAGCAAATAGGCCGGACATTATTGTCAAAAACCAGAAAGAAAAAACTTGCCTACTAATTGATATGGTTTGTCCAGCGGATTGTAACATAGCAACCAAGGAATTTGAAAAACTATCAAAATACAAAGACCTGGAAATAGAAATAGAAAAATGTGGAAATTGAAAACAAGAATAATACCAGTGGTAATAGGTGCACTTGGAATTATAAAAATGGAACAAAACAACACACTGAAAGAATCCCTGGAAACCCCAGCTTAAGAGACATACAGAAAATTGTCTTATTAAGTACAGCACACACACTAAGGAGAACTTTGTCTATGTAACGCTAGCAACTTCATCGGAGATAAAAAAAAAAAAAAAAAAAAAAAAAAAAAAATTAACATGAAATGTGGCCATAACAACACACCACGACCTGCCTTAGGTCTTTCCGCAGACTTGGTAGGTAGTGTGTCCATAGCAGAAATAATAATGATAATAATAATAATAATAATAATTTATTCAGTAAAAAGTGGAATTTAAAGTGGGTGAAGGGAAGCAAGTAAACCATATTACAGACACATAAGCCCCAAAGTCCCTAAAAAAATAAAGTACGAGAAGTGCAAGGGATCAAATGCAGAAATGATGGCAGGATAAATCTCTTCATGGTTAATACTCTGCCCGTACGTAGTGAAGGGTAAAAAGCTGTAACCGAAGGTTTTATTCTTACTGCACAGGAACAATGCTTACTAACTAGATATTACCAAGCTGACATACTGAAAAATAGTTTCTTTGCCAAATATCCAGAAACAACTGACCATCTTGTATCCGGTTGCACGTTATTAGCAAGCACTGATTATAAAACCTGGCATGACAGAGTAGGCCAGCATCTGCACTGGAAAATATGCAACTTTTACAGGGGCGGAAACTGCAAGTAACTGGTAGGAATATTACGGGACTGTCCAATACACATATACAGAAAATTAAACGTCCAGACATCGTGATCAAATACCACAAAAATAAAATCTGCTTTTTTATCCCCATCGCAGACCCTGCAAATTGGAATGTATCTTTGTAGATATTCAAAAAAACTAACAAAATGCAAGAATCTTAAAGGGGAAATCTAAAAAATGTGGCATATGTGGCTATCAATAATTCCAGTTGTAGCTGCAGCACTTGGATTGATTTCAAAACAATCCGATAGACTCATTGAAGGGAATCCGGGTAGTTCCTGCTTTAAAGAAATACAAAATATGGCCTATATTTCTGAGATGAAGTATCATGTACACTATTTACATTATTCGGACTATTGTCCTCATCATTGTCGCCATATTTATTACAATGTTTCGGCCTTTCAGTATCTGTCTATATTTCTGAGATGAGGTATTATGTACACACTTTACATTATTCGGACTATTGTCCTCATCTTTGTCGCCATATTTATTACAACGTTTCGGCCTTTCAGCATCTGTCTATATTTTGGAGATGAGGTATTATGTACATTATTTACATTATTCGGAATATTGTCCTCATCTTTGTCGCCATATTTATTACAACGTTTCGGCCGTTGTACGCTCCGGCATTCTTCAGGAGGTTGGAATGGCGAAGTAAACCCTTTATTTCGCTCACTGGGGTAGACTGTTCTACTCCCACGTTCCATGTTTAATGGATGTCAGTTGTCAGTTATCTCCTGTTAATTCCCCTCTCAAAGTTCTCTTCTGCCTTACATGAACCGGGTATTGAACTAACTAAAGCCTTTATCTACTGTGCTATGAGTCCTTGAGGACATCTGTGTATGAATTTCTGGGTATTATAAATCTTCAGCAACCATTGTTTACCAGTGCAATTTTTTGATGGTATCATTATATGATTTTACCAGAGCTCATATTGCAATTTTTTGTTGTTATTATTGCTTTTCTCTGGCATTCCTTATTACTGGTTGCCATATTGTATTCATTTCTATGCTTGGTCGGCTCAGGATATTTTTGTGGCCTAGCATATGTGCTGATTCCTTAAGTTTACGAATTTTCCTGTGATGGTCTTTGTCTATGATCTCAACTTGATTCCACCGCCCTCTGTGGGATCAAGTTGAAACACTAATAATAGTCGCACTGAATATGTCCATGAAAAAGAAATGAATTTAAGGCCAAGCTAAGCCTGACAGAGTAAATTGTAAATGCCACTACGGATGGACGCAGATGAAAACTCAGTACAAGTTTATCTGTTAGGAACTGGGAAAGAAGATTTTGTTTTGACATTACAAAATCAATGGAAAAAGCGAACGAAACAGAATCAGACAACGAAGAATAAAAATACATTTTTGAAGTTGTTATGTGAACAATTATTTTACGTGTTTTGTAACTCCTAAAACTAATCCAGAAGATCAGTGATAATAAAAAAATATATATATCAAAGACAGCTGGCCACAATTTAAAACTTGGAGGAAAGATCTGTTTACATAAGAGTAGCTTACCAGAAAAACGAAATTAATTGTTTATTGTGAACGTCACTATTGTAATAACGAATGTTAATCCGGTTCTGACAAAAAAAAAAAAAAAACCAACAAAAAAACCAAAAAAAAAAACAACCTTACCACAGATTAGTAGAAATAGCAAGACAAGGAAGAAGGATTTATGAAACAGGCGAACAGATTGTAGAAAATTAAAGTTTGTACTTCATCCTAAAGAAATCTCGCGTGAAAATTAATCGGGTTATAATATCGTATTTGGCGATGCAAGTATTTTAATGGAAAAAGGAGACGCAGCTGTTACAAGGATTGCTTCTGTACAATTCAGGAAACAGTAAGGTTTCGACTAACTAAACACACCGATTATTAAAGCACCGACATTATAATGCCCAACACATAATAATAATAATAATAACAAAATACAAGGACCTGGAAATAGAAATCTCGAAAATGTGGCATATGGGAACATCAATCCCTGTTGTAGTTAGAGCCCTAGGACTGGTTGGAAAAGATTGCAGTAGACTAATTGAAGAGATTCCTGGAAGTCCATGCCTCAAGGAGATACAAAAAATTGTTCTAACAAGTACAGCCCACACTTTACGAAGGGCTTTATCTATGCATTTTTTTTTTTTTGTCAGTGGAAAGTGTCATGATGCCATTTCGGGACCCAGAAAGAAATGTGTAAACGCCAGAAATCAAAGAAAATAATAATAATAATAATAATAATAATAATAATAATGTTATTATCGATGACTGTAGTTACTATGCAGAAAGTAACTACATTACAAAGATAATCTAGTTGACCAATACTCACTGTTCGTTGGGGGCCTCGAAACATAATTCAAAA